TTTAAGTATTGCTTTACTGGCTGTTACCTTCCATGATTTTTATCTAGTTGCTATTTTATGGGTAAGATGTTCCTGTTGTTTACTATTATCTTGGTTGTAATAGTGCAGTGAACCTAGATTAGGCGTGATAAAGCACAAATGAACGTGAGTGTTTTAGGGCTTATTCCTAAAAAATGGGTTGTGTGTCCTTCTCCCCCCAACCCCACCGCTCCTGAACTTGAGCCTGATCTCTTAGGAAAAGTAACTCTGAGGTCAAGATAGGCTGTTTGCATGTTGCCGCCATGACTTTGAGGCAGGTGTCGCCACTCACATCTGGCCCCACCCTCTGCCCAGACCTTCCGTTATTTGTCTTAGCTTTCAGATCTGGTCTTAAGTTCATGAACGCAGGGAAGCTTTCCTGGGACCCTGAACCCCACAGGGGTGGCCCAGGGCCTGCAGTCCTGCTCTCCCTGCAGTGAATGTCATCACTGTTGTTCGGGCCGGGCTGTGAGTTCCATGGGCAGAGCTGGGGCCTCTGTCTGCAGCTCCTGGCCCAGAGCTGTGACTGCGCGGTGCTCATGGTGCAGGAAAGTGGGGTCGGTGTCGTGCCGAGTGGAGGACTGAGGTGCCGGTCAGACTTGGTAACTGTCTCACAGGCACAGTGGGCCAGCGGTTGGAGGATTCAGGCTCTCGAGCTGAGTTAGATGTCATCCCACCGACTGCCTTTGTCAGTCGTGAGCCTGGACGGGCAGGGGTTCACGTTGCCTCAATGGTACCAACCCTTTTGAAGATTCTTGGTTTCCTGTTAGTTACTTTGAGTATAATAATTCATAAATATTTGTCAGTGGGTCCACATTCTCACTCCTAGATTTTATTATTCCAAAGCAGACCTAGATGATGATTCTCTCTCCCCCACCAAATTTTGTCTTCTGGTAGACAAAAGATGGTCTCTTCCACCTTTTGTCCACCAGTCTTGGCAAGGCACTAGCATAGAAAGGAGAGAAACTCCATGTTTGAACAATAAAGAGAGATGGGATGATGGGTTTAAAACAAGTACAGATTTGATTTATTATTTAGAAGTACACGGTTTCGGATGGCCAGCAGGCTAATGACAAAAATGCTCATCACTTATCCTCAGGGAAGTGTCAGTGAAAACTACCTTATGGCATGCAGAATGGTCCATTAAAAAAAAAAAATAAACTCAGAAAGTGCAAATGTTGGGGAGGGTGTGAAGTGGGGCTGGGAGTGCAGACTGGTCCATAGTTTATTCAGTATAGCGTTTACATAGTGTAGATTTTCCTCCAAGTATGATAAACCTATATGATCAACAGTTCCACTCCTAGGTCTCTACCTGAAGAAGACAAAATCACTAATGCGCACTCCCGTGTTCACTGTAGCACTATGTCATGTTCACAATAAGGAAGAATCTGAATGCTCACTGACAGCACTGGATTAAGATGTGGTACACATATTGATTGGAATACTAAGCTACAAAAAAGATGAACTCTTGGCATTTGGAACAACAGAGATGGTACTGAAGGGAATTATGCTCAGTTAAGTAAGTTAGAAGGAAAAAGACAAATACCGTATGATTTTACTCATGGGGAATATAGCGAGAAAGAACAAGGGAACTGAAAAAAATTAAACCAAAACAAATCCTAGAAATAGGACTGCAGGACTGAGGGGAGAGAGAATGAGTATGGGAGCGAAAGAGGGAAGGGTTCCGGTGACTTAGGGTCACAAGCAACGGCTTGGAGACCCTCAGCCTTCCAGGAACACAGCTCCTGGAACTGAGCAGTTGAAGGCACAGAAAGCTTTAAACTTCTGAATAAAGTTAAGGTGTTCTGCACACTGCCTCTGACTTCCCGGTAATTTGTACTGTGCTCCAGCTGTGACTGCTAGGTGACACTGTCACGTCAGAGGAGATAGGAATGGCACAGGGCTAGGAAAGCGTGGAGAGAACCTGTGCCACTGGGCAGTCTGACTTGGCAGGGAGGGGACCAGGAAAGCACAACCCTGCCGAAGAGTTTCACGTGGAGTTTCATAAACCTCAAACCCATATGAGTTATTAAATGTGCTGGTGCATAATTCAGCTGTCTCAAATATTCGGTTGTGTGGAATTATTAATTATCCCACAAGACTGGATGGAAAAACCATTGGGTTATTATACCCAGTAAATTTTTTTTTTTTTTTTTGGTTCTTAGGGATTGTGGAGGAAGCTGAGCCAGGGACATGCGCTTGGAAAGTACAGTTTTATTTGCGCTAGGTACAGCAGCAGACAGAGTGGAGTAGACTGAAGCGGGTGACCTCATGTTCTGTTTCTTGTGATCTGATATCACTTCATGTTATTGAATAACTTCAAAGGGCAGCTGGGCATTTCTGTGAAGACCCACACAGCAAAGCAATTTCTCACCTGCTGTCTCTGATCACAGAAGACATAGTCACACTCGCATTTCTCCTGGGACGCAGCCTGCAGACATGCCGCAACTTGTTTGGCGAAAAAGGCCAGGCGCGGAGTCCCGCTGCTTGTCCTGTGCGGGCTGGGACGAGGTTTAAATATAACCAAGAGTAGCTTTTTTAGAATTAAAAGCAATACAGGCTGAGCTTCAGGCCATGGGGTATTTCCTAAAAAGGCAACCACTGACCTTTTAAAGACCACTGGGGTCAGCTTGTAAAGCTAGAGTAGGAGTCAGATGTGGAAGAAACCTGAGAACATTTGCTGTTGGATGCAAACATGGAGAATCGCCCTGTTTCATTTGATGAAAGGGTGTTTTCAGACACCCCGACGTGAGGCGGCCAGGACGGACGAGCGTTTTGTGGCATCCGGCTCGTGCAGGTCTTGATGTCAGTTTTTGCAAGCCTTATACTTGTGCTCTGAGTTCATCATTGTCTCAGTGCCAATTTCTGCCACATTTGACAGATCTCTGCCCTGTCCTCACCCTACCCCCTTGTGATTAAGGAACAGGTGTTAACTATATTCGATTCTCAATTGCCCGGTGAAAGATACACCAGAAAGTACAAAAAGAATGCAACAGCAAACACCTACGCATCTATCACCCACAGTTAATACAGGCCCACTTACCATGTTTGCTACCCACTATTCTTTTTTTTTTTTTTTTTTGTAAGGGAACACACCCAGTGACATGATCTATGCTGCAGTTTTCTGTCATATTTCGGTTGTGCTGTTGGTAGCAGGATTTGCTCTAGGTACTGTTGATCATCTGTATGTCTAGTTGACTCACAGTTTTTATCATGAGGTAATGATTCATTTTATTGCAACATTTTCTGTATCCATTGACATAAATTGACTTTTAATTTTTCAACAAGGAATTCTGTTGCTAGATTTTTTTCATGTGAAAGCCCTCACATTTTTGGAGTTATATGGCTTTTCTGTTCTTAAAATACTGCTGTGTTGGAGTTGCTATTATTTTGGCATTTTGTGTCTATTTTCTTAGCTGTGATTATCTTTGGTGAAAACAAAAATACCTGATTTTGACGTTGAAGTCCCATTACCCTCTTATAAAAGGTTAATTCTGGGGCCTCTGCTGTGCGTCCTGAGCCTGGTCCTGGGTCAGGACCGGCTCTTGTGGTCTTGCTGGACGGGCCCCCGCAGCTCCTTCTGCGGTGTGTGCAGGTCCTTCTCTCCAGCCTCCCGTCTCAGCTCCGAGACCATCGAGCTGCTGCCCCGGCTCCTCCTGTGCCGGCTCTGCCAAGTGCCTCCTGCAGAAGTCAGGTGTCCCTGGTTCACCCCTGGGATTCCCTCCTGTGGAGTCACGGTCCGCAGGGGCCATTGTCCTGGCTCTGAAACAGTTGTCTCTCATCCAGCTTTCTAGTTTCTGAAGGCGAAACTTGTCCAATAATTGTTGTGTTTGAAAAGGAGGGGGTTGCTTAGGGAGTTAATTCCTGGCATTTTGGACAAATAAAGGAGGGGACTGAAGGAATTATGTCCCTGGCTTAATGTTAACCTAATGAAACCTAGATTGGTGGCCCCTAAACCTCCAGGGGACCTTGCCTGAGATAAATCCACTTACTTACCCGTGACCCTTGGCCCTCTGACTTTCAACTCTGCGTGGCCACAAGTCTGTATTCAGGGCTGTGGTCCCAGCACATAAGAGATGGAGAGATGGTTCCTCTGACTGCTTTTCACTGTAATATTAGAGAGTGTACAACATGCTGGCTTTCTGACAAACCACAGGTGCTGTTGGGTGTCTCTTCCAGCCCTGGCTTTCTCTCCTTTGAAAAAAAGTGGGTTGGACCAAATTTCTGGAAGTCTTTCCAAGGTCTGATAGCTTCTGTGTGTGAAGTCTGGAGGAGAGCCTTTTTGGGGTTTGAGCTTGGGTGTGAGCTGTCTTGTTTGGCTAAGTCTTGTTTTCATACCTACAATTTAATTTTTAAGCCTGAGAATACAATTTTTAAAAAAGTTAGAACGTACTTTAAAGATTTCCCTTTGTTTCTGATGCATTTCTCAGAGTTAGTAAAGTGGTCAATCATTGTACCATCTTTGCAAATTACATAACCCCTGTGTGTGTTTCTTCATCCACAAAGTGGGCAAAATAAAATACTGCTTGAAGCGGTTGCTGGATTTAAATGCATCACGTGGTAGACGAAGGCCTGGCACATAGGAAATCACGAAGGAATACTTGCTGGCGACTGTCTCCTGGTGATGACCTTCATCACCAGCGTTAGGCCTTGAAACAAGGTTTTATATTATGGGGAAGGTCTTGGTGCGCGGTTAAACCATGGGAAGCATCAGTGAGTTCTGCGAGGCTCTTCTGCAAAGTTGTGTCTTCTGTTGTCTCTGCAGCGAGCTGTGTCCCTCCCTGCCAGAACGGAGGGTTGTGTCTCCGGCCTCAGCTCTGCGTGTGTAAACCAGGGACCAAGGGCAAAGCCTGCGAGACCACAGCTGCGCAGGACACACCATCAGCAGTGCTTGGAGGGCAGAGTCCAGGGGCTGCTTCCTGGGTCTCCCCTGAGCAAGCCCCAAAGCACACGTCCCCCAAGAAGGCAGACACGCTACCGAGAGTCAGTCCCGTGGCCCAGATGACCTTGACGCTCAAGCCCAAGCCTGCAGGAGGACTCTCCCAGAAGACGCATGCGCAGTGAGTGTCCCGCGCTTCCCGTCCAGGGGCCGTCTATGTGTTTCTCTTTCATGCATTGCTTAAAATCTCTTTTCTTGCATACTTTTTTGAAGTCACATAGATATCAGTGTTTTCTCTTTCCCTTAAGATTTCATATGTTAAGTCTTTTAAAAATATTGGACATGTGTGGTTAGCTCTGCAGGGAAGAGTCACTGTAAGCATAAACTGGAAGGATGAGGATTACAGTGATGAAGGTTGGGAGAGTCATAAAGATAGTGGATGGTGGTGGAGTTGTGAGTAGTGTGATTTTAAAAAATTTGTTTTTTAAAGATTGATTTATTTATGCATACAGAACTGGGGTACAGGCCAGAGGTACCAGGGGCCATGAGAGGATTCACTGGAGACAGAGTGGGGAGCAGAACAGGCAGACTAAGTACACGGCTGAGGGGTGCACCGGGCGGGTCAGGAGAGGTCTGCCGCACCATGTGGGTCGTCTCTGGGGCAGGGATCAAACTCGTGCTGAAGTGGTTTCAGCTTCTTCGTGCTGTGCTTTAACCTGCTGCACCACCAGGGAGGGCCCCATGAGTAGTGTGATTTTTAAGAATGCATGGAGAAGGTAGGAATTCAGCTTGCAGAAGCTAATTTAAATGAAATAGTCTTTGGAAAGAGAATTTTTCAGACTCAAAACAGGTCAAGCATAGTTCCCATTAAGATGGTGCATATCTCTGAGTTGCCCTGCTGGTCCATTTTTGGTGACTTAGTTTTTAACTGTATTTATGGGAATATGTTTTTCCTTAGCCTTTGGAAATAAGTGGTTTCCTGGACGAGGATGAGATCCCGTCCTCCTCTGAGCACATGGGGTCCTTACCCAAGTGGTTTCCCGTTTAATTAGCTACTCTACATGGATAACAAGATACAGAATTTACTGCAACTATCACTTGTCATTTGTCTAGGAATGTAAAATACAGGAAATTGTCAACTTAAAAATGGTCTTGACCCAATACTTCAATTGTAAGTTACTTGTTTGGGATTCCTTGTTTCTCCCTGTGTCCCCGCAGAGATGGCTTCCACATGGTGATTGGTACCTAGCCATCTCTCAGATGCTATTTAATCTACTAGTGTAAGTGAAATTACCCTAATGTATACTTCCGCTTTCAACAGGCCACCGACTCTCCCTGCTAACCGGGTCCCTATAACTTCCGAATTCCTGCTGCAGTCTTCTGTTTTTCTCCATTTCTTCTTGTCTCTTATTTTAGTTCTGCCATCCTAAATTGATTTAGGGGATAGTCTGAAATCTAACCACTGTTCTGGAATTTCAGTTGGAAAACACATTGATTGACCATTGACAAGAAGGGATGGTAGTTACAACTAAATCTTAGTAATGGCGTACTGGGTGCTGGATTCTGTTTTAGTGTGTTCACTATTCACTGTGCACAGTCACCCCAGCAGGTTGGTTATGAGGCATTAACCCAATTTTGCAGATAAAAAAAATGAGGCATGCAGTGGTTAAGTAACTATGGGTCAAAGGGTTTGTAATGACAGTGTTGGGTTTTAAATCAAGGCAGTCTGGATCCACCCTTCATGCCTCAAAGTAGAGGGAGGCAGACTTTTATGTAAGGAAGTTGCAAATCATTTCAGCTTTTGAGAGATCCGATTTTGGGTGCAATGAATCAGTTCTGCTGTTGTAGCACAAAAGCAGCCATAGATGATGTATAAATTAATGAGTGTAATTGCTCTAATAAAGCCTTATTTATAGACACTAAAATTTTAATTTTCTTTAACTGTCAATGTGTCATATGTCAAAATCAGTGATCATTATTTCCTCAGCCATTTAAAAATGTGAAAATCGCCTACAAGTTGTGACTCTGTACCCCTAAATCATATGCAGTGTTATAAGCCCTTGTCAACTCAAACAACAACAAAAATGAAGCGGGAAACTCATTCCTAGCTGTGGGTCATAGACAGACAGGCTGTGGCTAGCTTTGGCCCACAAGCTACACTCTGCCGACCCCTCCTCTGAAGGATAGCGTGCTTTTTTTTGTGCCAGAAACAAATGTGCAGTGTGTCCTTGAAGGACATAAACCTTTGATTATATCACAGCTAGACATCTCTTGATTCCAGCATTGTTCTGCATCATAAAAAAAACAACAAAGACTAATTCTGTGTTGAACTGTGTCTTGCTCTCAAGAGTCAGATTACTGTGCATCATGGTTATTTTTTTTTTGAGCTTTATTACTTATATAAACTGTGAAGTAATTTACAAGGGACCTTATTCATCTTAATATCACCATCCACTACTCGAGTTGGACTCTTTATGATGTGTATATACAGATGGCTATTAAGAACCATATGTCATGTCGCTACAGGAGCAACCTTTTTCTCTCTCTCTCTCTTTTTTTTTTTTTTTTGGGATAGCAGCTATGAAAGAGAGACCAGAATGTTGTGAGCAAAAAGGAGGCTAAGGTTTCAGCCCTGACTGAGCTATGGGAAAATAAGTCATCGGGTAATATGCTTCAGGGACTTCACTACTGAACAAGGAGGCTTTTGGGGGAAGCATTGATATGAGTGTTTATGTGGGCGTGCCTGCTGCTGGCTGAGGGTGAGAACAGGAGCTGGTATTTGCTTAATATACTTTTGTAGGTTGCCCTGCTATCTGGGCATTGCAGGGAGTAGTCAAATCTGCAAGACTCTGGTCTGTCTTTCAGGAGATTTTGAAGTGGCCCCTGGGCTCCAGCTTGAGAGGATGGGACAATGAGGAGTATGCATACAAGAACTGGGATATAGGCCAGAGGTGTGGGGGTGAGAGGATTCACTAGAGGCAGAGTAGGGACCTGAACAGGCAGATACACTGAAATACACTGCTGAGGGGAGCAGCAGGTGGATCAGCTCCCTGGCTGAGGATTGAATTCATGTCACAGTGGCTGACTTGATGGTGCTGAGGCTTGAATCCCTGCGCTACCAGGGATCCCCAAAATTTGACAGCTCTTCACTTACTTTTTCTAAAGATTGAGTAATCTAGAGCATTTCAGGGTTTTCTTTTGTTTTTATATACTAAAGGAAGGCTTGATTAAACCTCCTTAAATTGCTTGTAGGCCTAATGATACCTAGAATAACAAAATTTTTTGTTACCAAAAGAGGAGAGAGCAGGGGGAATACCTCAATGTCTTTTTAGTATTTTGTCTAGAAAATGAAACATATTGGCCCTCCCTGGTGGCACAACGGGTTAAAGCACAGCACTGTGAAGCTAGCCACAGCTACTTTAATGCTGTTGGATCCCCAGCCAGGGAGCTGATCCACATGGGGCGGCAGATCTCTCCTGACCTGCCTGCTGCTCCCCTCAGCAGTCATGAGTCAGCCTGTTCTGTTCCCCACTCTGTCTCTGGTGAATCCTCTCACCGCCCCTGCACCTCTGGCCTGTACCCCAGTTCTGTATGCATAAATACATAGTTATAGAAAAAAAGAACATGACACATCTTCATTTCTGCTTGTTTTATTCATTAGAACTGAGTCAAAGGGAGTGGAGTTCAGCCGCACAATTTGCAGGGAGAAACATCAGAGTTCATGGATATCTTTAAAAATGACCACATAGAATATATGATTTATTTGAAATGTGATGTAAATGAAGACTAGAGGAATAAAAGTTCATAAAGATTGGTTAAAATCAAGTTAAATATACACATCTGAATAAAAACAATTCCCAAAGCATAGAAAACAAGATAGAAGAAGGAAATCGTGGATGGAGGCTTAGGAAATAGATGAACGAATCACATTATTTGGGTCAATCCTGACCCCAACAAGCATCGCCCACAAGCTTGGGGAGAGATCACATGATGCCTCATCTTGCCTATAAATTTTGGCAGCCGTTTTTCTGATTCTTGGAACTTTCACTGCAGTTTGCAGTCCTGGATTCCTTAGAAAGTCTGTATTAACTCTTAAGTTCTCATAATGGCCTCCCAGGAGTGTTGGTCAGTGAGATCCCTGAGGAATTGCCACTGCCTGGCTGCAGCACGCCCCCATGCCTGTCTCTCCTCTTCCATTCAGAGCTGTGTTCGCGCACGTAGCTGTGACCCCAGACTACTCCACAAAGGAGCAAAAATCAGCGCAGTTCAGCTCCCCAGAGCTTTGGCATCACCTGCCGGTGTCCTCATTCGACACCTGTTGCGATTCCCCGTCGTTGGTTTCCACCCTCAGCGCTGCCTGGCCCTGGGGAGCGTCTGTCTTTGGTCCTGTTCCTCAAGTGTCCCCCCGTCCTGTGAAATCCTGGGGTCAGCACACTTGGACAATTGTGGTGAGTAGAAGAGGGGAAACCAAGACATTAAGAGATGAGGGATATTCAGGCTCAAGGAGGTTCCCTGGCTCCCCTGTACCGGGAGCCTCCCGGAAGGAGGGCTTGAGAGGTCCCCCCACTCAAAAATAGGGACCTTGGACCTACAGCACCCCACTGACGAGACAGGGTGCCCTATGGAGCCACTGTCCTGGGTTGTAAGGAAGGGGTGGGCAACGTGGACAGGAGTGGGAGGGGGTAGGAATGTCCCCCAACAGTTAGACTGGCTCTGCAGTCTGCTGGTGTTTTCCCTTCTGATTATCTCTGTTGACATCATTTGAGCCCTGATGGCTGAGCTAATGAGCTGTAGGACTCGCTGCAAACTGACCGTGGAACACACGTTCCACCCAGAGGCGGCGGCGGGGAGCAGAGCTTGGCTGCCTCGGGACCCACCAGCTTCAGGCCTGGCCTGCGTGGCTGCCGCCAACATGACAGTGATTTCTGGAGCCTGCCTTGGGGTGCTGTGCGGATTCAAGGAGGGCTTGCTCTTCCCATTTGGATGTGTCTGGCATGTTACATGCTGTCCCTGAGGCCCTCCAAGGCGCCTCTGCGGCACCTCCTCGCTTGTTTTCCTTGGCTTGAGAAATGTATGTTTGAGCAGAGTTAGGCTAAATTTCAAGATTAAATTTGTATGGTTTTCTCCCCAGAGTTGCATGGGAGAAGAATCGAGAACCTTTAAGATGTGAGGCCTTTGTGA